GTTCAGAGGCATAAATAACTTAACACTAATTTCATAGCAGTGCAGTTCCCATTGTCTTCCAGTGATAAAACCTTTTTTTCAGCAGCTGTCTGAAGATAAGGTTTGCTTTTGAAGCTATTTTAACATTGAGTAGTAAATTCAGTATCTATGTCTCAAAGAGATTTCAGTGCTACAGATTTGACAGATTTTCTTGTTTTTCTAGTTCTTGGTATTATGTTCTTTGGTATTATTGTATTACTTTCAGAAATTTGCTTCAATAAACATAGCAGCTGATTTTCAAGAGACTTGTTTTCTGATCTAGGCCTGCTTTGATGACAATAGAAGATGAAGGATATGAAATTTATGTTCATGTGGTGTCTGACTTGATGGAAAAAATCTTCCTTAATATTCCTGCAGACTGGCTGAACAGATTAGTAGGTACTGTTTCATTAAGTACTTGTGATAGAAACAGACAGCAAAGTCAACTGTGAAAGCAAAATTTTTAATTATTGACAGTTTAAAAAACAAACAAACAACCAATATCAAAGAACATTTCAGTTGCTGCCCAACAGACTCAGAAGTTCAGAACAGAGGCAGCAAGAGGTGAGATGGTATGAGCATTTATTATATAATAAAGAGTTGTAATTGTTCCTAATGTTCCTAAATATTCAGTAACTAAATGGATTGCTTATATGCCAAACGGAGTCTCCTAGGAGTTTTTAGAAATAGCTGTCATGCTTTCATGCTGTGACACACTGAGCAGTGTTTCAGACAGGCTTGGCTTGATACATCCTGTTTGACTTGAGAGGTGCCTTACCCGATTCCCAGGTGTCAGCAGTTCGATGAGAAACATACTTAAGTCATTCCTTATAAAAATTTATTTTCAATAAAAGCTAGCCTTCTGTTGAGATGTTGAACTACACTTCCAGTAATTCAGTGGAGCTTGCATGGAGGTGAAACTTGAATGTTAGGGGCTATTATGAAAATAAAGTGTATTTTGAATTCTTCTCTTTTGCAGTGCCCTCTTCAGATATCACCTATGGCACAATAGTAGCAGATCTGTGTCATTCGCTGCTGGCAGATACAGAAGCATCCTATGTGTTGGAAATTAGGAGCCATTTTGTGCTAGATGAAAACAGCTATCCTTTGCAAAAGGATTTCCATCTGCTAAATTTTCATCCTGAATTTTGAAGCATTGACTTCTGCAATAACTGAGTACCAGAGACCGTACAGACACACAGATGGGAAGCAGAGGAAAAATGTATTAGCTGAAGGAGAAGTCTCTTAAACACAATTAAATAAAGGATTTTGGTTTTAACTTATTTAAAAAGCAAAACCACCAAAAGGACTGGTATGAAATATCTGCTAATATTATATATTGCTGCTGTAATGCTGATAAATTGTCATAAAGTATATTTTTGTACATGTATTTTTATCCTAATAAACTCCATTGATCAAGAATGAAAAGTTACTTCTGGTTCTCTTAATAAATTGTGCTAAAGATAATATGGAAAATCTCCACTCTGTAAAAGGAGAATTTAAAAGACTTGTAATGATTGAATTTCACCTCACTGTAAAAGCACTTTGTATCTTTAGTTTCACATGGCCTGGCAAAAGCAGGATGACATTGTCCTAATCCATCACCTTGGGGAAAATTCTAAGCATCTGTTCCTCTTATACCTTATTCTAATTATGTTTGCACAGTAGCATTTGATTCTGGAATATGGATTTCTTAGTGCCAGGGAGAACTGTTTTGAAGGGAAGAGCAGTGTCAGTGTCTGGATTTAAATCAGGTATTATTATGCTGGTGCTGTCTGAGTCAAAACATTCCATGATCATTTTGAGTTTCATAAGCCTCCAGAGAAGCAATCACCAATTACACTGGAGAAACCCTAAAGGTTATTTTCTATCCTGTCAGTGTGTGGTTTCCATCCTTTGATTTGGTACCTCTGGGCAGGAGTCATGCCAGCTGGACTGGGGAGCTGTGTAGACACCACCAAGTCTGTGTACTGGGCTTAGGTCTCTCCAGCTGAAGAGGACACAACTGCCTCATTCTCTCCTCATGATTTTGCTGATCACCCCTCTGACTCTTGTTTAACAATATCCCTTCTTGAAACCCAAGCCACAAACATGATGCCACAGTTCAGTGTTAACTTGAATAAATTTAGCATAATTCTGTAGTTTTAGTTCCTATCTTCATTTCAGGAATTCTGTGTAAGATGCTTAGGTTCTGCTGCCTTGTGTTTACTACTTCAGACTTTTCTCCCTACCTTTCAAACAGGAAGTCATTTCATTTTCTGTACCTGCCACAGGTATTTCTTCTGAAGGAGGTCTCCAGTGCTTTTATCACCTGTAATGCATCTTCCTCCCCTTCAGTCTCATGAAGCTGCTGCTTTTAGAATGTACTGTTCTACTAGGAGCAAGTAATTCTCAAATCAACCCATCTGGTCCCTCATTTCCTCACTTAGGAGAAGCATAGAGTAATGCAGATGGCAGTGATCATTAGGCTGTCTAAACAACTAGTATAGGTATAATTATAATTGAGAGAAGAAGCTAAGGTAAAGCATGATCCAGAAAGGAATATAAAGAAATACTCTGCCTGAATAGTGATAGGGCTTCTTCTCCAGGATCCTGTTCTCTAGGACAAGAACATAACCATTGTTCATGTCATGGTGGTAAATTGGTGCTATCATTTGATGAGGTTATCATTTCATGAAGTTAAATGCTAGATTTATTGCAGAGCATTAAAAATGGCATTTTTTCAGTGGTAATGTAAAGTATTGAGAAGAGTGTCACATTTTGTGTGGTCTTTTATCTATTTCTTGTGTATTTCTTGGATGGTGTTTTCTGTGCTATGCATCTTGGTAAAAATGGAAAAATTTATAGAAAAAAAATAGCACTGGTAGGCACTGAGCAGTGTTGCAATCATTCTTTCACCTCAGTGAAGTCTCAAGCACAAGATCAGATGGATGATATGTAAAAGGCAGTAGGTAAAAAAAAATATTGCTCTATTATGTAACAATAATACTGTATCAGAACTCCTTATTTAATAATGTTTTTCATTTACTGGAATAACCCTCCTTGTTCAAGAGGAGTCAGAAAGGGTTGTTCTCATTTACTTCATTTGGATGACCTTGAGCAAAGCCAATTGCATTGGTAAGTGTATTTAAATATGTTTCTTCACAGTTTTAGCTGGAATTGTTGAACATAAGATGGAATTACTGTTACTTTATAAGAAGCACAAAGAAAAGGGAATTGCATTAGTACAATACATATTTTTATTACCTAGACCATACTGTACATAGTCAGGTGACTTCCCACTTTAGAGGGATATGTTATTAGACACTGTGTATTACTTGCATCTTCCTCACAAGCTAATAAACCAACTGTCTGAAACACTACTAGGAGTTTACTTTCAAGATCTTTATTGGTATGATTCAAATCATAAAAGACAAAATTTATCTGGTAAAATTGTTTTATTGTAGTCCTATGTAAACTGATAACTACAGTTTGCCTTCCCAGATCAAACGTTGCTTATCAGATTGGTTTGCAGTAGTTTGGTAGGAGTAAAATCTGAAGATTGGGCTCTCTGGGCTTGGGGGTGCTGGTGTTACTTTTTATCAAAGATATAGTGAGGGTTGAGCACTTTGAAAAATTCAGTTTAATGTAGTGAGCTTAGGCTCATATTGTGTCCAACAGTGGAGTTAGCAAGATGGAATGAGGGTGCTGAGTAATATTTCAGATGGTGGATCAGGGAAGTCTTTTATCTTACAATTCCTCTGTGATATCTTCTCATTCGTAGTATTTCCCTTAGATAAAAACAATATTATCAAAATGGAAAGTGTTCTCATCTCCCCAGAGAAGCCTAATTTTTTAATATATTGAATTAATTAATATTGTATCCTGTTTGAAGGGAAGGTGGGTTTATTTCAGCTGCAGAAGAGATTATGGTCCTCTTGGAACACAATAGTACAAGATGTTTTGCTGCAGTAGTCTGTCCAGTTTATGACTGTTTTGTTGTGAAAGGTACAGAGTTTAGGTCCCTAGTGAACAATCAAGAAGAGAAAGACATCCTATTTTATTCCGATTAAGAATAATTGCTCCAAATCATTTTACAGAACAGTAATTTACTTAACAAAGAAGACTACCACTAAAACTGACATATGTCCTCAGGGCTTAAACTAATTGGATTGTCAGTGTAAGAGTGGTCATTCTAGGTCAAACCCAAGGTTCTTGTAATCAATGCTCTGTCTCCAGCAGATTTGTGTTTAGAGAGAAATATATAAGAACAGGACAAGTCCCTTGTCTTACTTTCTCAGAGTACTCCAGTGCTTGTGCAAGCCTCCAGTCATTTGTGACTTCACAACTTCTGTGCTTCTGCCTTAGTGTCAACTGTGTTTTATGTTGGGATCAGCTGAAAACAGGTTTTTTAAAATCTAATGCTGCTATTTTAGATAAATTGTAAGTTTGCTAGTCAACATCTTTTGGGCTTCCATCCCTTTTGGTGAACTCACTCTGCCTGTGGTGATGCAATGCAGTGGACAGTTAGACCTGGTGTCATCACTGACAGTTCTCAGGTCATTTTGGGTTCTATGCACATGATGTGTGACTATTTGCAGAACTCATGACTAAGAACTGGAATTTACTAGTCAAAATAACTAATACTTGGGGTATCATGTTTGGCTGTTTCGTTTACACTGGTGCATGTTAATTACATTGGACATATACTTTGAAGAGAGGAGTGTTCCAGCCTACTAGGGACCATTTGATTAAGGAAATTTTTTATTTATTTTATTCTTGTCTACTCTATCATAGATAAGGAAGATAGCAAGAGGTTTTTCTTTGTAAGTTTTTTTATCTGTGCTATTTACATGCTGTGGCAGAGAGCATGCCATCGTTTAACCAACTCCTTGGGCTTGCTGACCATTTCATTCCAGTGTTCTAGTTCTTTGCCACGTGTGTACATGAAAGGCCCAACTACTACTCATCCTAGCAGAAGCATTTCTAGGACAAAAAAGCAGTTAGTGATGAACATCTCTGAGTGCTTCTCTGAAATCTTTACCTAAATTAGAACATTAATTTGTATTTATCAAATTATGCATGTTCTGAAAGTTATTTTTAAGCCAAATCAAGTAATTCACACTGGTTTTGAAGTTCTGCACCTCCTACCTGCTAAGACTCAGTATTAAAAGGTACTGTAGTAAGTGGGTATTTAGTCAAGGTGGGCCTGATCTATTGCCTGCACTTAAACTAGAATATGGCATGAACTAGAATAAGGTGCAAAAAGCTGTGTCTGCCCAGACTCTCTACCTATTTACTGCAGAAGTGTGCCCTACTTTTGGGCATCAGCAACCACAGTAGGATTCATATGAGGCTCTGGCTTGGGAAAGAATAAATGTAGTTACTGACACAGCTGGGAGTCACAATGTGTGTGGTGCCACTGACCACCCTCTGCCAAGGAGCAGATTGTTTTCTCCATGCCTGGATTTTTCAGCTGTGAGTGGGGAAAATAATTTGAACCAGTCTTACATGAACTTCAGAATATCTGAAAAGCATTTCGCAGGTGAAAATGGTGAAGAATTGGGTACTGGCCTAGTTCTTGTCAATCCTCACAGCCAAAGTACCTGCTCAAAATCTCACCTAGAGGAATTTTTTAGGATCACAGGGAATCCAAATGAGGGTATTAATGTTTCATTATTGAGATCATATTTGCACTGCAGGGAAAGTGTTTTTCTTCTGAGCAGTGGAAAAATCAAATTTTGATGTGCTTCTCTGAGCAGCACTCCTTAATGGATTCTCTAACAATTAGTAAGAGGTGGCCTCAAGCATCAGGCTTTCTGCCAAGGAATAGAGGTGCTTCTCATGTCTCTGCTATTTCATTGCTTGAACTGCTGTGATAATTAAAATTCCTATTCCTCTTTCAAATTTGGTTAGGAAGAGTGAATGGCCTCAAAATTTTGGAGGTTGAGGATTATACACACAAGTGTTCATGGAATATTTGCATAAGCTTGTTTTAACAGGATACTGAAATGAAACTGAAGTAGGGCACCTTATACTGACAATGACTGGTCTATAGTTATTTTATTCATCTTCCATTAAATTAATCTTTAGCCTATGAAAGAGAGGCTTGTGCTTAACTGTAAAGAAGTTGTTCTGCTTTTGAAAGAAACAGCCTGTGATATACCCCAAAACTTTTATATGTTTTATGATTGTCATGGAAAAGGAATTAGTTCCTCCCAAGTTTAAATAGGTCTCCAATATGTAAGAGATTTATGGTGTCTTGACTGTAATAATTTATATGGCTTACTTTCTCCCTTGATACTCTGGAGCACAGATAGACTCAGGCTTGTTGTATCCAGCTCTGTCTGATCTGCCTTGAAATTGAAGGTTTTGTTATACACTGGGTTGGGAGATCCCAGAACAGCTGCTGTCTTTTTACTTTTGATGAATTTATTATGGTTCATTAGTGAGACTTTGACATACACACCTTGGGGAAAAAGAAATTCAAGAAGAAAATATGTGAGAAGCAGTTAGGAGACAGACTAAGGCATTCCTTCCTTTCAAGAGTCAATACCAAGTACAAAATCAGGTGGTGAACGATTGATTCGTGGAGCACAGATGGCAATGCATAACATCAAGCAGGGAGTGCACAACGTCCCCAGGGTGCAGTTCTGCAGTGCACTTCCCAGTTTAAGAGCTGTCAGAATTGAGCAGTCAATGTTCTTAGCCTGAGTCCTTGATGATGGTTTTCTATGCCTACCCTTCACCTGATGGAGACTTTTTTGGAGGTCTAATTTGTTCAGTGAGTAGTAGATTTCATGTCTTTGAGCCAACATAAGGAAGGCCATGAGGGAGGAGCCACATCATAGAGATGCAGCCTGTGCCTGGACTGGATGTGTTTCAGGAGAACAGAATCTCTGAGTCAAAGAAAGATACTTAAAACGAAAGGTTTTACTAATGATGTCTAGCCCTGTGCTAAGGAGGTCTGTAGAAAGTTTGAAGAAAAGATTTGTGATCTCTTTCTTCTAGAAAATATTACAAAAATTGTGGGGATACGCACCAAGAACCACAGCATTTTGCTTTCCTTCCTGAAGGGAACCTGTATTAATATGGTCTTACTCAGTAGACCTTCACCAATGAGATCTAGAACAGCGTGAGATTTTCTGTTCTTCCCTACCTTTCTATAAAATCTAGAGCACATAGAAATTTATTTCAATTGACTTAGATATTTGTACTTTTACAGTGAAGCAGTAGCAGGTTCTCTGCTGCTACTGTGATTGTTACTTACTGCTATTCAGCTCATTAAGGTTGATCTGTACAGCAAAAATTATTAGAAATGTCAGGACTGAGCACTGATGGATTTCTAATGTCTCCCTGTTATTTCCACAGATGCACAGGCTCTCGTGACTGTTTCAGAAGGTTCAGGATTAGCAGAATGGATTTTTTCAATGACATAACTGCTACCTGAGTCGTATATATGGAAAGAGTCAATATGTATACTAGTTGCACAAAGTCAGACTTCTCATTGCTTTGCTACTTCTAATATATTTAATTCAGTAAATTGAATCTAAAAATAAGTGTATTCTCACTGTTCTATACTGTGTGATCTTCCATCAAAGATTAGTGTTGCTTTAATCCCTGTTAATATAGAAAACCTTTTATTCCTGATTTTTCAGGACCCCAAATCATACTTGAAGGGTATTATCAAAGCAAATTACACCCAATTTGTGTAATTTTCCTTTTATTTTTTTTCTCTTAGTAAAATATTCTGGAGAATCACTTTCTAGCAGCTTTTCCTTCTAGAGTGTGTCCATGACTCTTGCTGATTATGATAACCTTGGGTATACCAGCACTAAAATAACATGGCAGGTTGTTAGATGTACATGATGTATTAAGAAGTGTCTTCTCCCTTTCTTATAAAGATATTGAGATGCTGTAAAATTAGAACATTTGCCTATAGTTAATGGTGCTACTTTGTTTAACTGCCACGAACCAGTCATATTTTTTCTGGCCATCCTTATCTTAGTTATTTGTTTTCTAAAATGAGTATATCCTGTAATATGTTTCTTTCAACAAGTGATTCTACTTGTTGGAAATCTCTCTATTCTCATCATTTTACTGTGCATTTCTTCATTTGAGTTTTACCCTAAACAGAGCAGATTTGTCTCCTATCATTATGAATGTACATTTATTCATTTAGAGAGCATTGTTTCTACAGTTAAATATCCTGATAACACTCCACTCAAAGAAACCTCAAAACCAGTCATAGTTGATGTGTATGTAAAGACAACTCAGCCTCTTTATAACTGGTGGGTGTATTTTGCATTTATGTTGTTTAACTTCAAACCCCTGCAAAAAAATCACTACGGACTGAGATACAAGTTTGATTCTTCCATCTGGCTTTGCTTTGAGTGTTTAGATTTAAAACAGCATTTAGAGGTAAGTTTAGAGACCAAGGACCCATGAGTATGACATACCAGAAAAAAACCCACTGTAGTAGGGGAGAAAATTGTGACTCCATGCCATGGTCTTTTGAACAACAGCCAGGCTGTCCTAAAATGGGATTTTTTTCCCAGTTCAGTTCTTCTCAGGACAGCTGTTCAGCATAAGCAGTTGTCCTGCAGCTGTTCCCTCTGGGAACTTGACTTGAGACAACTCTGTTCACATCAATATCCCCTGAAATGCTCCCTTCTCTGGGCTGGAGTACAGCAAAGGGATGTTTCTCACTGTACTAAAACAGGAGGAAAAAAGTTGCCACTGACAACATGAGACAAACACTCCTGGGACAAAGGAAGGACTCAGTGCTGCTCTGCCCTGCCAGCATGGCAGCCCCAGCACAAGTGCTGCTGCACAAGTGCTGCCCTCAGGGTCTGGGAAAAAGACTCGAGGAGCAGTCACGCGGCCTTCGGCCACCCAGCACATGCTTCAACCTACCTAGGCAAACTGGGGGGCTTGTCCACTCTCCATCATTGCATGTTAGAAATGGAGATCCTTTCATAGGATAAAGATTAGGGCACTTATATTCCAGAGTTGCACCTTGTTGATATTCTGGCCTGGGGGAGGAAAGAATGTCTCCATTTTCAATTGCTGGAGGTGGGCCACATCTCCCACATTTTCCTGGAAAGAAATTTTCCACTCAGTTAATTACAGTTAATTAATTAATTCATTCATTATACAAAAGGTAGCATTCAGAAGATTAAATAAGTCATTCCCCTAAACAGACACAGACTTCAGTCACCAAAATATTTAGATCCTGTTTCTAACCATGCCAGAAAATTTCACTAAAGGCTTCTGTCCCCTACTCGATGCAAGTGATTTCTGTCAGTGAGGCACCAAAGCAACTCTTAGTCACTGGTGGACTCTGCAGGAAACACATCCTTGGATTATGAGGATGTGCCTAGGACTCACCTGGCAGAGATATGAACTGAACAAAGACTGCAAGAATACAAAGCAATGTTTTAAAACTAAGCTGCATTCAGAAAGTCAGTTTTGCAGCCAATCAGGATCCCTCTGAAGCCACCCATAATGGAAGATAAGTTTCCACAGCAAAATATGGGGTAGAAAAATAGGCTTTTACTAGTCAACCTTCAGTTTAAAATTCTTTACATTTTATTGCTAATTGCACTTAAAAAAAAAAAGAAGCATTTTTTGATATTCCCAAGCATGTAGGATCAGAAGATTAAATAAGTCATTCCCCTAAACAGACACAGACTTCAGTCACCAAAATATTTAGATCCTGTTTCTAACCGTGCCAGAAAATTTCACTAAAGGCTTCTGTCCCCTACTCGATGCAAGTGATTTCTGTCAGTGAGGCACCAAAGCAACTCTTAGTCACTGGTGGACTCTGCAGGAAACACATCCTTGGATTATGAGGATGTGCCTAGGACTCACCTGGCAGAGATATGAACTGAACAAAGACTGCAAGAATACAAAGCAGTGTTTAAAATACTACTTAAGGCCCCCCGGGGCAAAACTGAGGCTCCATTATGCAATATACTAAGCAAATGAATACGCACACAGCTGTGGAGGGAGAACTTGGAAGTTTTCTATGCCATCTTAGATAAGTCTGTGTAAACAAAAAGACTGCAGTTGGTTAACTGCACTTTCTTTAGCAACTTATGTTCTATTACCTGTTCCTGATAATCTTACATCAAAAAACAGCACTCTCCTGCTAACGACTGCAAGTGCACAACACTGAAAATCATTATAAAAAAACAGGAAAAAATAACCCACTACTGACCCACACAGTGAGG